TGGATGCGCTGTGACCTCCCTCTGGGCACCTGGCATTCCCCACATCTCCCTGCCAGAGAAGGAGAGAAAAGAGTTCCCTTGCCGGAGGAAGACAAAACCTGTCACCCCTTTGCCAGCCCGCCCACCCCCCCGGTCTGGCTTCTGAAACCAGCCCATCATGTCTCCACATCTGAAAAACCAGCCGTTCCTCGGCGATGCCCACGGGTCCCCGGATGGCCCCCGATCGGGTGGGGAATTTCAGGTGCTCATGGGCTTTGGAGGGACCCGTGATGCCGAACAGAGAGGAGCTACTTTTTTGAGAGGACCACCCACCCTGATCCCACCCCCCAGAGGGGGCATCATGGACCGGGGGGGAGGATTATGGGACTTGCTGTCCAGAAAAGGAGCCAACGTGAGCCACATCCAGGGCTTCCGCTTGGCAGCCCAGGCCAGCACTACCTGGGTGGGCGGCTGCCCCCGGCGGTGCCTCCCCCTGCGCCTTCCGCCGGCTGCTTCTCCGGGCATTCTGGAAGTGGGGGGCCACTGCTGTGGCTCCTGGGGAACGATGGGGCTCCCCAATGGTTGCCGCCGGGGCTCCTTCGGCCTCCCGGACCTGAGGCTGCCGGAGGGGGCTGGTGTCACTCTGGGCCGGATGCAAGTGTCCCCGTGGGAGCCAGAACTGATACTCGACCCCCGGGTGGGGTTCCTGGACGAGGACCTGGTGCCAAGAGCAGAGGGAGAGCTCAGGTTACAGCCGACGAGGGGCACGGTGCCCACCCGCCCACGGAGGGAAACACTCACACTTCTCTCACCATGACCAGGAGGTCCTCCTGGGTGGGGCCCTCGGCCTCCAAGCTCTCCTGCAGATCCGCTGTGCGCCTGTAGTGCACACGGGTGCCGGCCACCTCGTACTCGCCAGGCCAGTTGATGGCCCAGTCCCCGTTGAGGACGTAGCGCTGGTTCGCGTCCATCAGGGCTGCCGGATGGGAAGAAGGAAGGAGTAGATGGTGGGTGGAAGGAAGGGAAGGAGGGAGGGAGAGAGGGAGAAGGGGGGGGTCAGAGAAGGAAGAGTTGTCCAGGCCTCCCCGGGAGGGTGCTGGTGGGGCCCCTTGTGCTCTCCGCCCGCCCACCCGCCAGGCAGGCCCTCTCCACCTACCCAGATAGTTGCGGCTCCGATCCACCACCTTGATGTGCCGGGCGCCGGCTGGGATGCGGGTCACGTTCTTGTACCCAAAGAAACCTGTCGAAGGAGCGCAGGACGCCAGTTCTTGGGCTGGCCCCGAACCAGGACGAAGCGGGTGACAGACCGGCCAAAAAGCAAGCAGGCTTCCGAACGAACCTCCGCCTGTGAATGCACCCAGCGAGGAGGCCGGCCCTAAGCGGGTAAGGTGTCAGGAAAGAGCGCAAGGGGGCTGGAGGTGGGGGTGATGGGGATGGTGGTGGGGAGGCCAGAAGGGAGAAGGGGGTGGGGGGAGAATGAGCCAAAGTGAGGAGGGGGGAAGTTGCGGTAGGGAGGCAAGCGGCCCAGCCGAGAGAGCCCAAGCATTCACCCGCGGGGCGCGCCCGGGCGCTCAATCACCAGAGGCAGGGAAGGCCGCCTGGAACACCGCCTGCACCAGGACACACGACTCATTCCGGCCGTCACACATCCCACAGGCGTCCGCCTGCGCCTCGGAGCCCAGGATCCCATCACAGCCGGCTCGCTGGCAAAGGGAAGAGAGACCAAGGGAGGAAGAGGAGGAGGAAGGGAGGGAGGGGTGTGAGAAGGACCCCGGCCACGGCTCTGAGTGCCCCCCCATGCTTCGGGCCCAGTTCTTCCAGTTGCTGCTGCGTCAGGGAGCCCATCACACATCCCCCCTTGCACTCTTTGGGCTGTCCTGGCTAAACCAACGGGAGGACGAACCAGCAGCCTCCCTGCATCTGGTGGTTTTCTGGTTCCTCCCTTGAGAAACATCCCACCACCCCATCATCCCCGCCGGCGGTCTCCGGCTGTCCCCTTTTCCCCCAAGCTTTGCCCAGCCTGGGCCTGGCTTGCCTCTGCCGGGACTCACCAGACACCGGCCACTGATGCAAAGATCCCGGGACTCCGGGCTGCAGGGGGTGCCGTCCAGAACTCTGCCGAAGGTGTAGTAGAAATTGTGCCCTTCAGCCAGGCAGTTCAGGTCACAGAGGCTGGGTGCTGGGAGCAGAGGGAGGGAAGATGGCCAAGCTTCAAAGGGGCCCTTGGCCCACCAGGGGCCGGGCCCCTTCTGCTCCGGGGGTTGGGGGTGGGGCCTGAGGACCTCTAGGGACCCCAGCACCCCTGCCCGAGCATGGCCCTGCAGGAAAGGCAGGGGCGCTGGGCCCAGGGGAGGGCAGCATTCCCTAGAAGAGCTGCCCGGCGAGGGTTCCAGGCTGAGCTCACCTCCGTGGAAGGGGACCCACCGATATGGCCCCTGGCCCCCCAAGACCGACTTTCCATTGTAGAGCGAGCACTGGACGGCACGGAAAGGGATGGCACCCTGGGGACACCCCTGCAGAGGGGGAGAGGGAGGGAGGCTGTGACCACGAGTGGGAGGCCAGAGGAAACCTCGTCCCGGCCAGGGCTCCCGGGGAGGTAAGTGGATCGGGCCCTCCTCCAGGGTGGGCTCACAGGGATCGAGTGGAGAGCCATGTGGTGGTGGTGGTGGTGGGGAAGCCCTCCTCTGCCTCCTCCCCTCCGGGGGTCTCCAAGGGCTCCCGGCGTCCTTCGGCTGACCGGCAAGTTGCTAGCGACGAGCGACTCACCTCCAGTTGGCACACGCGGTACTGCCGGGCCTTCCCCATGCACGGCTCCTCCTCGGGGAATCTGCAGAAATGGGGGGGGGGGAGAGAAAGAGAAAACCTCAAGGATCTCTGCCCAGGCAGAGAATTTCTCTGCCCAGGCAGCCACGGTCACCCCACCCGTGGCTTCCACCCGTGGAAATGACCACGACAGCTGGCCCTCCCTGTTGCTTCATGCAACACATGCAAACCCCCAGGGAGGAAACCCAAAGGAAATGACCATACCTGTGCCCCCCCCATCAGCTGGCGTTCAGTGGTAAACTGCTCCTGAACAAGGACCCTCTGAGCAGCCCGGAGTGGCTCACCAGAGTAGAGCGGCTGGTTGTGGGGGGGTCAGATCCCCTTGCAAACGCTCCTGACACCCTAGAGGTTTGCAAGCCTGACTCGCAGGGGAACTGGACTGAGCCTCACAGCCCGCCGGCAGCTTTTCCTTCAGCCCCATCCACACCGTGGTTTCCAGAGCAGCCATGGCAGATACACCAGAGAGCCACCGGGCTGGTGCCCTCCCCCGCCACCACGCTCAGGGCCCCCCAGGCAGAGACCCCACCCACACCTGCTCACCGGATGCACCTCCTGGCCCGGAAGGAGGCACCCTCCCCGCAGGTGCTGGAGCAGGCGCTCCAGCTGCCCCAGTGGGTCCAGGCGCCGTGGCCCAGCTGGCGCCAGTGGCGGCGTGGCTGCAGGCCGTGGCCGGGTCCATGCGCCGTCGTCCGGTGGTCGGTTCCCTACTTGAAGGAAGACGACCCGGTCAGTCACCACTCTCGGGTGCCCCCCCAGCCCTGCCCCACCTCTCCCTGGAATGGGGGGGGGCTTCCCTGGGGATACCCGGGCCCCAGACTCCTTTCCGGGCAACGTCTGGCCAAGGGGAGCGGGAACCCCCGAGGGCACTGCCTCTCCACAGTAGGCAAGGGGACAGACTCCAGTGGGCACCCCCTGGCCATGGAAGGCACTCCCAGGACGGTGGGCTGGGCTCCAGGGCTCTCATGCAACCCCTGATGGTGGAGATCCTGGGGGGGGGCTCCAGCCCCAGGAAGGCAGCGGGGGGGGGGCAACCCTGGGCTGCCTCGTTCCCTCCAGAGCCTGAGCACTGTCTTGCTTCCTCTCTGCTTTCTGTCCTTCCTGCTCCTCCAGTGAATTCCTGGGGGGCGCCTGGCAAGCATCTGCTTTCTCCCTGGACACGACATGTGCGGACAGCCTCTCCCAACCGGTCTCCGAGAGAGGCGTCCCTCTGCTGCCCCCACGGCACCTGGCGTGGGGAGAGGATCCCGGCGTGCCCTGCCCCACGGCCCTCTCTCAAGCCCCCCCCCTGGAGATCATGTTCCCAAAGGGCAAGGGGGATAAAGGCAGACCTCTGGACGGGCGGGTTTAGTTCTGCTTTCTTTGGGGGTTTTTTTGTGGGGGGAGGGAGGTCGAGGGAAGGGACCGTCTCCCGGGCCCGCGTTCAGGAAGCGTCCCTCTCTGTTTATGAGGAAAAGGTCAACAGAATTAAATATTTACTGGTGAGCTCAGAGGGAAAGGCTGAGACGATTTCGCTTCCCACCGACCTTTGTCTGTATACTTCCCATCTCCTTCGCTCGGATCGATCGGGTTCTCCTTGGCAAGGAGGCCCCAAAGTTAGACGGAAGCGAGGCAGGAAGCAGCCGGAGAGCCGGCCCGCGGGATCGGGTGGATTTCCATTCCGAGTGACCACAATTTTGATTGGGGAGATGGGGGGGGAGGTTTCCATCAGAAGTGGCGGGGAGGTTAGGTCTGGAACCAAGTGACCAGCCCAAAGGGCTCGGCACCCTTCCCAAAGGGGACCCGATCCACCTGTCAACGCCCCTTCCTACTCTGCACGCACAGTCTCCTTGCAGTTCCCCAGCCGAGCCATGGGGGGTAGTAACTGCCAGACCATGTGCAGAGTGCTCCTTTCCCGTCCGTCAGCTGTTCAGGGGCATTTGGGGACAGGCCAGCCACTTCCCTGAACTTCAGTCTTCCTCCCTCTCGCCCGACGCAAAACACCCAGGAGTGCTTAATTTGTTCCATGTGCCAGGCACAGAAGAACACACACGGGAGTGCGTACAAACTCTCTCTTTCTCCCCCCTGCTCGGCTCCCCTCTTGCCGCGGGAGACCCCCCCTCCCAGCTCTAGCTGGGTTTAATGAACTTAGGAGGGAAGCAGGGAGAGTAAACAGAGAGGGATAAACTGGTCGGCAGCTGCCAGGCTGGGAGCCCCACAGCCGGACAGTGACCCAGAGGGGGGGGGAGAGAGAAAGAAGGCCCCAGTCCTCCGCTGGGCAGGCAGGGAGGGGTGGCCCTTTCTGCAGAGAGAACAGCCAGCCTCTGGTGTGACTCGAAAGAGTGGGGGGAAACAACCCAAGCCCGCCAGCCCTGTGGTGTGGACCAGGAGAGGGCGAGGCAGGAGACCTTTTTGCCCCCCCCCACACCCTCCCGGTGTGGGAATCCCTCGAATCCACTTCCAGAGCCAGAGAGGGGCTCTGGATTGGCCTTCACCGCTTGTCACCCAAATCTGAGGGGCAAGAACGGAGAGGGGGGGGCGACCAGCAGCCAGCGCCGTCCTCAGCCTTACCTGAACCACACAGGCCAACATCAGCCCAGCGATGAGCAGACGCCTCCAGGGAGCGATGGGCCTGCAAAAGCCGGGGGGGGGAGGGTTAAAAGGAAATATTAAGAATATGCTTTGCAGGGAAAGGAGGCAATCCATGGAGGCCAGAGAGACGTCCAAGGCTCAAGGAAAGCACAGATCATGATTTCCCTTTTATTTCCCCCTCCAAAAGAACCATCTGTCTATTGAGACCCTGTACGTACCTCGTATCCCCAGCAGCCCACGAGGTTCCTCGCAGACCGAGGGCTTAAGGCCACCAGAAATGCTGGGCAGAGGCCAAGGGGCCCGGGCAAGCTTCCCTGCAGGCCCCAGGATCTAGCCAGGAGCGATGGGCTTTCATTGGGCAGGTTTGATTCCTGCCGGGTGTGTGTGTGTGTGTCACCAACCAGGCCGCTTTAAAAAAGCCCCACATGGCCTCCTGCTTCAAACCCTGCAGGCTGGACCAGAGGGCAGTGTGACGAGGCGCAGAATCTAAAGGACTCCGGCCCACCCCAAAGACCCAGGCTTTTGCTGCTGAAGGCGCAGGGCGGAGCAGGCGGGAAGAGTCTAGGCTGCTGTCCGGCTCTGCACCAGGGGCGGCCCCGGGCATCCAACCGGGTGAAGGCCAGGCACGGCTGGAAAAGGTGCTTTGGAGGGAGATGCCAGCCTCCCTGGGGCTGGCAAACACAAACCCACAGCCATGTGCCCACTGAGCCCTCCGCTGGCCCAGGACAAGGTGCCAGGGCCACCTGGGCCCCCACAGGGAGCAGGAGGGAGCCCAAATGGCAAGGCTGGGAAACCCTCTCCAGGACCCCGGTGCAAACCCAGGGACTCCACGCGGGGGGGGGGGTTTGCTTCCTGGGTTCTTGGCACCTTGTTGTGTGTGCCTGATTGTGCACCCGTGTGTGTGTGCGCGCGCACATACACACACACAATCCCCCCCCTCTCGGGGTCTCCAGTCCATCACGGTTTCCTACGCCATCTAAACCTCCCTCCTCTTGAAAGGGCCAAAATACTGGACTCCCCGTTGGCTTACTAGCAAAAGCTACCCACCCACCCAAACCACTCCCAGGAAAAATTCCTGCGGGGCTGGGTGGGGAGGAGGCAAAGGTAGTTGAGCGCCAGGGTGCCTCTGAGCATGTCTGAAGGATGCTTCTCTCTCTCTCTCTCACACACACACACACACACACACAAACACACACATGCCTCTCCCACCACACACACACACACACATGTACATTCTCCATGCCTCTCCCACCCCACCTGGCCAGCCTGATGTTGTCCAGATGGATTTCTGACCCTTTGATCTGTGGGTGGCCAAGAACAGAGTGGAGAGATAAGCCTCCCACACACACACAATCACACACCCCGCCTGGGGATCCCTTCCTGTGCTGGAAAAAAAAGGCAGGCCAACGCCCAAGGGCCCGACCCTTGTTCCAGCAACCTCTCCGGCCATTCCCGGAGAGGCCGAAACCTGGAGGGATGGTTTCCTGTCCTGTCATCCCCCTCCCAATTATCAATGTAAAGTATCCTGGTATCTCTTCAGCAACAGCCACCCCGCCCCTCCCCAGGCAAAACTAATCCTTTCCCTAGGATTCACTGCTCTGACTGTGGCTTCAAGCGTCCCTGAGAAGCCTTCCTTCGGGCTAAGTTTCTAGTCCTGGTGGTGAGGGGCTCCGGAGTACACACTCTGCCGAAGGGAGGACGGTGGTGGTGGCCGGGTAGGGGGGTTGTACTTGTGTGTCTGTGGGGTTTTTTTCTGCTTGGAGTCCAGACCCAGTGGGGTTTGGGCCCTTTTCCAGGCACCTCGGCTCCGTCAAAGCTTGCCACAAAGGGGGGGGGGTGTCGGATGCAAGCGTGCTGAGACGGCCGCCTTGGCTTCCAGCACACCTGGCGACAGCAGAGTGCGCTCTAGGGTGCAAAGTGCGCTGACGTCTCAGGAAAGGGGGGGGAGAAGAGAGCGAATGACGCTTGCTTGGGAGAGGCGAAGAAGATGGATGGATGGATGTGACATGCAGGAGACAGGCTGGGACGGCGCCTGGAGGGAGGGAGGGAGGGAGGGAGAGGCTCCCATCTCCCACTCTTCCCTCTCAGCCCCCCCTCCCTGCAGGGCCCAGTTGGGGGCAGATAGGTCCCGCTCAGGGCCTCTGAGCATGTGTAAAGTGGCTTTCCCTCCACCACCCATCTATCCCCGCCCTGAAGCAGGAAAAAGTGGAGAAGTGGGATTTGGGCAGGGCAAAAAGCCCTGGGGGGTCCCCCCCCAGGGAGGGTTGCAGGGGAAGGGGGGCATTCTGCATCCCCAAGGCCTCTTGGCCCACCCTGAACCACCTCTCCAAGGTCATGGGGGTCGTCCCCCTCTGTTTTCCCCACCTGGGATGCTAGGCAGGGTTCAAGAGCTCCCCTCCTTTGCAAAGCCCTGAAAGGGTTAATGGGGAGCCCAGGACTCACCAGATGCAGTCGGAAGGGAGCGATCCGGCTCCCAGTCCCTTCCTCCAGCCTCGCCTCTGCCTCCCAGCATCTCTGGGCCCCCAGGAGGTGGCTCCCACCGGTGCACCTGCCAGATATCTGGGGGGCCTCCTTTGCTGCCCCCCAAAACTCTCGCCCATTGGGGAATGCCTCGGGGGAGAAGGCAGGGGCCCCTCTGGCCCATTGGCGCCAGAGCCGGCCATGCCCGCCGAGGCAACTGCAGCCGGCAGCCTCTCTGCGCACCGCCGTCCCTCGTGCGCCTCCACAGCTGCTCTGGAGCAGGTCCCACCCGGCTTGGACAGAGTCCCAGGGGTGCCGGCGGGTGGGATGATGATGGCCTGGCTGTGGAGCAACCGGGAAGGAGGGAGTTGCACGCAGGCCCTCGCCCGCCCTCCTCCTCCTCCCGCACAATGTTGTGTTCCTGAAAAACCTTCAAAATCAGCCCGAAGCAACTGGTGGGATATTAATATTCATACAAAAAGGTGCGGGAAGAAGAGCGCTCGCCTGTTAACCCTTCCGCGCCAGCCCCAATCTCTCTCTCTCTCTCTCTCTCTCTCTCTCTCTCTCTCTCACTCACACACACACACACACACACACACCCCCCAAAGGGCTAAAATTAGCCCATCTGTGCCTCTCCTGCTGTTTTTCAAGGGCCCCTCCTTTCAAGGACACCCCAAAGAGGAAAACAACCGAGGTGCAAGCGGGGAGGCGGTGGTGGAAGAAAGCCCACAGCAAACTTTGTTTTGCATTGTTTGCCTATTTTGGGGGGAGAACAGGGGGGGGAGTGAGATGACTCTTCAACCCCTCTCCATGGATCTTTTGCCTCATTTTTCCAGGCCATGCGCCAAGCACATAAGTGGGAAGAAGTGCCTATAAATAATCTCCGGGGG